TGTTTGTGAAGGCAAGCCTAAATAAGTATTTAACTGTTCGAAGTTACAAGTTCCACCTCAGCTGTTGGCAGTGTATCCTAACAAGGACCGATTCATATGGAAAACTGAAGTTATACTATCAGATCTTTATCAGGTATGGAGGATATAGTGGTCAAAAAGCATTTTTATATGCAAACTGGTAAACATACAGTACTCAAAGTTCTTTTTAAACCAAGTTATAAAATCATTTAAATAAATTTTCTGCACGTGGTAGAGCACATAGAAACTATCACTTAACATCCAAAAACCAGAAGCAATCAAAAAAGATGCTTCTTCCTTTTTTCTGTATTTTAGGTAAAACATATTGCACAAAAAAAAAATTATTAAAAAGTCCTCTGCATTCTGGTGTAAATTCAGCCCAGACTATTAAGAAGCCAACTTATTGATTCTAATAGGATCTGAATATAACCCTTAACGACCAAACTTCTGGAATAAAAGGGAATCATGAGATGTCACACATGTCATGTGTCCTTAAGGGGTTAAAGCAACTCTTTCACTAAGTTTACTCCACCCCTTTAATGATATTTAGTTGCCCTGGAATGGGTGCGACGTCCCTCTTTACATTGTACAGGTTATTCCGGATCTTCATTAATGCTGCTATCGTTGCATTTCCGAAACCAAGAGGCTCCACGTGTCACGATTCGGGGAACCAAACACGCCAACACACACACACACACACAAAGTGCCGTACCGGACCTTAGAGTGGCCGGGCTAAGCACACAAAGAATAGTCAGGAAACAAGCCGAGTAAGGGGAACCAGAAGACAGAATAACGTGAAACAAGCCGAGGTCAAAGGGTAGGAGAAAGTCACAGAGTCGGATAACAAGCCAGAGAGTACGTAACCAGAAGCACAGAATCAATACTAACAAGCAAAGACCACAACAGGGCAAGGATGAACAGGAAAGGTAAGTATTTAAACCATCAGGTTAATTCTGATTGTTAATTCTGATTGGAAATCATCCAATCACACGTGGGAGATATTTAGACCTCCCACTGTGATTGTGGCACTTTGCCTTTAACGCCGGGTCAGGTGACTGAACCCGGCGTGTATAACCCTGGGCGGTCTCCCAGCGTGCAGCGTCATGCATGCTGCCGCTGGGGGACGTGGAGGGAACGGCGGGCGGCATCCGAGGCTGGAAGGATGCCGCTCGCCGTACCCACGAGGCCGCGGAGGGTGAGTACTGCGAGCGGAGTGCAGCCTCCCCTCGCAGCCGCCCGCGGGAGCCTGACATTACCCCCCCCTCGAAGACCACCCAGGGGGTGGGAAGCGGAAGGCTTCAAAGGAAAGCGGGCATGAAAGGAGCGGACCAAAGAGGGAGCGTGCACATCGGAGCTTGAAACCCAGGACCGCTCCTCAGGGCCGTACCCCTTCCAGTCCACCAAATATTGCAGCCGACCCCTAGAAACACGAGAGTCGAGAAGGGCAGCCACCTCGTACACGTCGTCAGAGACAGCTCGAGGGGAAACGGGCCGCCCGAGGGGACGAGAGAACCGGTTACACAGCAAGGGTTTCAAAAGCGAGACGTGAAACGTGTTCGGGACACGCATGGAAGGAGGCAAATCAAGGGAGTAGGAAACGGGATTAACCCTACGTAACACCTTGAAGGGACCAAGAAATCTGGGGGCGAATTTCATCGAGGGAACCTTGAGACGGAGGTTCCGGGAGGACAACCATACCCTATCACCCGGAACATAGGAAGGGGCCGCAACCCTACGGCGATCAGCAAACTTTTTCTGAGCAGCCGCTGAACGAGACAGCGCAACATGGACTTGATCCCATGTCTTCCGCAAAGAGGCGAGGTGCTGGTCCAAGGCGGGCATTCCCTTGTCGGAGAACGCACCGGGAAGGACAGAAGGACGAAACCCATAAGCAACCTCAAAAGGACTTAAGCCAGTAGACGAATGAGACACCGTATTCCTGGCAAATTCAGCCCACGGAAGAAGGCGAGACCAGTCATCCTGGTGCGCATTAGTGAAGCAGCGCAAATACAATTCCACAGACTGATTAGCACGTTCGGCCGCACCATTAGATTGCGGGTGATAGGAGGAAGAAAACGACAAGGATACCCCCATCTCAGCACAAAAGCCCCTCCAGAACCGAGAGACAAATTGAGGGCCCCTGTCAGATACGATATCCTGGGGTACCCCATGCAATCGGAACACTTCTTTGGCAAATACCTGAGCTAACTGAACCGCAGAAGGCAGTTTCTTAAGCGGAATGAAGTGCGCCATTTTAGAGAACCTATCCGTCACAGTCAGTATCACCGTCTGACCATCAGAAAGAGGCAGGTCTACAATGAAATCCATGGATAAGTGGGTCCATGGTTTCTTGGGTATAGATAGAGGCATCAGAAAACCCTGGGGTCTCATATTAGGGGACTTACATTGCGTGCAGACCTGACAAGCCTGAACAAAATCCACTACGTCTCGCTTGAGTGAAGGCCACCAGAACTGTTGAAGGAGGCCCTTGTAGGTTTTGGTAACCCCCGGATGACCAGCAGTTTTGGCTGTGTGAAATAAAGTTAACAACTTTTTTCTGTCATTAGCTTCAACGTATAGTTTACCAACCGGCGTCTCAGGGGGTGCCTGGGTTTGGTATGTCTTAATACTGGTAAGGAAAGGTGAAGAAACAACCAAACGGGTAGCAGCTATTATCTGAGACTCAGGTACAATAGGTTCAGGAGTCGGGTTAACAAATTCTACTGGTTCATGCTGCCGAGAGATGGCGTCAGCCTTGGCATTACGGCAACCAGGTCTATAGGTGATAACATATTGGAAGCGTGAGAGAAATAGAGACCATCTAGCCTGCCGGGCAGATAACCTTCTAGCATCAGCAATATAGGATAGATTCTTATGATCTGTTATAACCATAATTTTGTGTCTAGAACCCTCTAATAAGTACCTCCATTCCTTGAAAGCTAACACAATAGCTAATAGTTCCCTATTCCCAACATCATAATTCTTCTCTGAATCAGACAACCTTTTAGAAAAATAACAACAGGGATGGAGGGGTTTGTCATAAGACAACCTCTGTGACAGTACGGCTCCCACACCTGACTCTGAGGCGTCTACTTCCATAACAAAGGGAAGAGAAGGATCAGGGTGGTGCAGCACTGGAGCAGAGGCAAATGCCTTCTTGAGGGTTTCGAAGGCCTTAAGGGCTTCAGGAGTCCAAACCCTAGGATGTAGACCTTTTTTTGTCAACTTCGTTATGGGAGATATGAGTGGTGAAAAGTTTTTTATAAATTTCCTATAATAGTTGGCAAATCCTATAAAACGCTGGATAGCCTTTAGTCCTTGGGGAAGTGGCCAGGACATTATAGCTTCCAATTTAGCAGGATCCATACTGAAACCCTGTTCAGTAATGATATATCCTAGGAATTGCACAGAGGTCTGATCGAATAAACATTTTTCTAACTTACAGTAGAGTCCGTTCTGCAATAGCCTTTTGAGCACCATCCTAACATGGTTATGGTGTGACTTCAAATCAGGAGAATACACAAGTATGTCGTCAAGGTATACTACAGCACAGACATGCAATAGATCCCTAAGGACATCATTTATGAGGTCCTGAAACACGGCAGGAGCATTACACAATCCAAAAGGCATGACCAGATATTCGTAATGCCCACTGCGTGTGTTGAACGCTGTCTTCCACTCGTCATTCTCCTTTATACGGACAAGGTTATAAGCCCCCCTGAGGTCTAATTTGGTGAAAAATTTAGAACCTTTAACACGATCAAACAACTCAGTGATGAGGGGGATAGGGTAGGCGTTTTTAACCGTTATATTGTTCAGACCCCTGTAGTCTATACATGGCCTCAAATCACCCTCCTTCTTAGCCACAAAAAAGAAACCAGCACCAGCAGGAGAGGAGGACCTTCTAATAAAACCTTTTCTTAGGGATTCCTGTATGTACTCCTCCATGATTTGGTTCTCTTTTTCAGAAAGAGGGTAGACCTTTCCCCTAGGAGGCATAGTGCCCGGTAAGAGGTTTATGGCACAATCATACTCACGATGTGGAGGTAGCTTATCTGCCTCTCTCTTCTCAAAAACCAAGGCAAGATCCGCATAAACAGAGGGCACAGAAACCGAGAGTGGTTTAGCCGTGGGTACGTTAAGTAAACAGACAGGATGTACATGAGCCACACAGTCTCGCTGACAAGATTCCCCCCAGGAAAGTATGTCTAAACAACCCCAATCAAGAACAGGGTTGTGTTTAACTAACCAGGGAAAACCTAGAACGATGGAGGCTGTTGGGGAGTTAATTATTTGGAAGGTTAACTTCTCTTTGTGCAAAACACCCACAGACATAACGATTTCCTGGGTTTCATGGGTCACCAGAGGTTTCTCCAGTGGTCTACCATCTATGGCCTCAACGGCCAAGGGTGTCTCCTTTCGAATCAAATTCAGGGCTGCGGTTTTGGCAAAGGTCTCATCCATAAGGTTGTCTGCCACACCTGAATCGATCAGGGCTTTGGTTGTTATAGTGGTTTTATTGACCAAGAGAGAAACCGTAATAAACGGTCTAGAGATGGACATATGAGAGGACAAGGTCATAACACCCGAGGCCGACCCCTCTCTAGGCCTTAGGTGCTGCAGTTTCCCTGTAGTTTAGGGCAGGCTTTACAGTGATGCCCCCTCTTCCCACAATAAAGGCATAACCCCTCCCTTCTACGGTACGCTCTTTCGGCCTCAGTTAACCCTGTAGCACCCAACTGCATGGGTTCAGGGGATGGCTGCACAGGAGCGGGTAACGCTAGCAGGGAAGTACTGGGTAGAGCAGGTAACACCCGTGTATCCAACCGTCTTTGGCTACGCCTCTCTCTAATACGGTTATCTATAAGAATCACATAGTCTATAACATCATCTAGAAGAGCAGGTAATTCCCTGGATGCTATTTCATCCAGTATATAAGCGGCCAGACCCTCCTGAAAGGCTGTTACGAGGGCGTCATTATTCCAAACCACTTCAGCTGCTAGAGTACGAAATTCGATAGTGTAATCTGCTACAGACCTGTTACCCTGTCGGACCCTAAGCAGAGCCTTGCCAGCAGAAGCAACCCTACCGGGTTGATCAAACGTGCGTCTGAAAGCTGTCAGAAAATCAGCAAAGGACATAGGAGACGTATTTTCCCAAATGGGGTTGGCCCATGCTAAAGCTCTCCCGGACAAGTGGTTTATCAAAAAGGCAATTTTAGATCTGTCAGTGGGATAGGAGCGTGGATTCATCACCAAATGGATGTCGATTTGGTTGAGGAAACCACGACACAATGCTGGGTCACCACTGTAGCGCTGTGGCGGCGTCATGTGAACTACATGAGCGGGAACAGGTACTGGAGTGGGAATGGGTTCGGGCACAGCAGCAGCAGCCTCCTGAACGGCCGGTTGCAAGTGTGCAGTACGAGCCAGAATGGTTTGTAAAGCTTGAGCAAACTGATCCATACGGTGGTCTAAGCCATCCATTCTAGCCTCTTGATTAACTAGAAGCTGTGGTATGTCAGCAGGTTCCATTATGGCCCTGTTGTAATGTCACGATTCGGGGAACCAAACACGCCAACACACACACACACACACAAAGTGCCGTACCGGACCTTAGAGTGGCCGGGCTAAGCACACAAAGAATAGTCAGGAAACAAGCCGAGTAAGGGGAACCAGAAGACAGAATAACGTGAAACAAGCCGAGGTCAAAGGGTAGGAGAAAGTCACAGAGTCGGATAACAAGCCAGAGAGTACGTAACCAGAAGCACAGAATCAATACTAACAAGCAAAGACCACAACAGGGCAAGGAGGAACAGGAAAGGTAAGTATTTAAACCATCAGGTTAATTCTGATTGTTAATTCTGATTGGAAATCATCCAATCACACGTGGGAGATATTTAGACCTCCCACTGTGATTGTGGCACTTTGCCTTTAACGCCGGGTCAGGTGACTGAACCCGGCGTGTATAACCCTGGGCGGTCTCCCAGCGTGCAGCGTCATGCATGCTGCCGCTGGGGGACGTGGAGGGAACGGCGGGCGGCATCCGAGGCTGGAAGGATGCCGCTCGCCGTACCCACGAGGTGGAGGGGACCGCGGACGGCTGGAGGGTGAGTACTGCGAGCGGAGTGCAGCCTCCCCTCGCAGCCGTCCGCGGGAGCCTGACACCACGCACCTGAACATGTATACGTTATAGGGTGTTGCTGGGGCCAATTTTTTACAACATACAAAATCCAGCACACTTGCTCATTCACTAAATAGCAATTTGACATTTTACAGAATGTAATAGTTTTATTTGAAAATACCTCACCTAGGCAATGAATAATGGGGGTTTAGTTACAGTATATAAGTCATACATTGCATAAGCCTGCCACAATATAAATATACTCCATTTAAATAAAACTAACATTCTGTGAGACTTAAAATTGCTTGACAGGTACATAGTCGCCATATGGGCAGGCGGAACCAGGACAAACCCCCCCCACATACCAACCCAATAAAACTACGGACACTAGGGTATATGGGTCAAAATTGTTCACAGCTTTTATTAAATAGTAATAAATTAAAAAAAAGTATTACCCCATACCCCACCATCACATCCGTATCCTAGTTAGATATAAAAGGCAATGACCCCTATATTAATAACATGACAGTATTCCAACATGAACATAACTTAAAGTGCCAACATTTTAATTCATTAACCAGTGGCGTACACACATTCCATGGGGCCCCGGTGCAAAACTGATCCATGGGGCCCCCCTCATCGCCGCCGACCATTCACCCAACATGCTTCCCAACAGTACCGCTTTGTGCGGGAGAGGCTGATTTTGGATGCTGTCCTGCCAAGCTCTACCTCTGCGCGATTTGACAGGGGCAAGAGTTGGGAGGTATGTGTATGTGCATTATATGTCACTAAGCATGCAGAATGAATAAATGATGCATACATACTCCACCAAAAACAACTTTATTAGGGACATTAACAGTGTGACCAACAATAGTGCAAATAAATAATAAAGAAATAAAAGTACATCTTCCAAAAACTTTCCTCATCCTTCTTGAACTGAAGATGGACCTACAAAATAAGAAAAGGCAGACACATTTATACAGGAAGCTTAATTTTGGGGTGATAAACTAGTCTCTATGAAGCTTATTTTCATTCAACGATCAATTTAAAAGAGAATTTTATTTACCATCCTTTTTTCCTTTGCCTCTACCGTGACAATTATTGTACAATCGGACCAAGAAAAAAAAACCTGCAGAAACAAGAAACAGCAATAACTTACCACTTTATTCTAAATATTGCATATCACCGTATATATTAAACAATTCCTATGTAGTTCAGCCACATAACAGAGGTAACTTACTCAAATCTTCCATAACGAGGAATCTTATTCATGAAACAGGATTGCAAGACAAACAATGGTAACTTCCAACTTGGTTAATTCAAACGTGATGCCTTCCATCCCCGTAACGTTAAATTCTTCTTTAATTAAAAACTTTTCAATAAACAAGCACGACACAACGAGAAGACATATCTGCAGAAAGTAACTAAAGAACAACCATAAATTAGCACTTTTTAGTAATACAGCAAGATAGAAGAATAAACTGTTAAATCACTTTGTTAGTACAACAATTTAAAACCATGCAAGAAAAAAGTTAGTATAAACTCAAAACTGCAAGCCGAACCGAAGGCACAACTGAAAACTTACGAATCCCATTAAAATGGACGCTGCCGTGCTTTCATTTCAGCAAAGCTGTCCACAATGTTTTCAATGTTAAGTTTTCTAGCTCTCTCATTTTCAATACTTAACAGAGCTAGGCCAGATAGTCTCTGTTGTGACATTGTGCTTCTCAAGTAGTTTTTTTAACTTTAATTTTGAAAAGGACCTTTCTGCACTTGCAACTGTAACTGGAATGGTGAGGAATAGTAGGAACGCTATGCACACATCTTGAAGATTGGATGACAATGCACAGTTTTCAACTAATAGAAGGTGAGAAAGGTCCTTTACAGTGGAGCATCTCCGAATCTCTTCCTGAAATGTTGAACGGAAACTCAGAAGCTGTTCTGGGAAAGAAGGTGACATGTCCTCTGGGTAGCATTCCTGTAGCTGTGAAGCAGCTTTGAACAAATCATCAGTTTCAGAGGCAAGGATTGTAGGCTGAAGTATATTAAATCTCTGCATGACATTGCTCATTCCAGCAAATCGGTTAGACAGCTGGTTGGTCACAATGTCTAAACACCTATAAAACACAACGGTTTTAAAGCATTGTTCAGGATCCTGCAACCTTTCATCAACTGAAAGTTCATCAAAGTGACGCTTTACTTTTCTTACTCTTGTTTTCGAACTGCATCTGGATGCCCCACTTTTCTGCCAGTTCTACCGCTGTTTGTTTTGCTGCATCAAAATTCTCCCTATATTTCAAGATGACTTGAGCTGCCTTTTGTATTAGATGCGCTGCACTGGATAAATCTATATTTTTTGACTGCAACAATTTAGAGACCACGTTTATGGTGTCCAAAATCTTGCTTTGCAGGACAACGAGAAAAACAAATTCAAAAGATCCTATTTTTGTTCTAATGCGAGCAGCATCATCTCTTTCTTTGGGCTTGGGTGACAAAGTTTATTTTTGTTAATGCTTGCATAATGTCTACAAAACGAAAGCGAAGAGCAAGCAGTGAATCATGGCGAGATGACCATCGAGTGGGGCAAAGTTTTTTTCAATGTAAGTGTGGACTCTAGAGAATGATGAAAAAAATGTTCCATCTGCGTATGCTTTCACCAAAAAAAAAAAATATATATATAATTCCTGCACCACTTCAAAAAACCTAGAAATTTCTGGTATGTTCCCAACCGCATCCTGAAGTACCAGGTTCAGATTGTGAGCTGCACAATGTACATACAGGGCATTTTTCTCTGTGCAATTCGAGCCTGCACACCAGAATACACCCCACTCATTGTCGCTGCACCATCATACCCCTGGCCACGACATTTTGTTATATTGAGGCCGTTGCTCTCTATGCAAAAGACAATGTCATGTTCAAGGCCTGCAGCACTCTGGTCCTCAATGGCATGAAACCCTAGAAAAACCTCTTTGATCTCAACACTAGTTGCTCTCTGGCTTTCATCTCTTTCCACAGAAACATATCTGAATATTTGACTCATTTGGTCAACTTTTGATATGTCCTGTGTGGTATCCATAATAATTGAAAAAAAAGGTGTCTTTTATTTCCGACACAATGATGTTCCGGACCTTATTTGAAAGTATTTGTATAATTTCATTTTGTATTCTAGGACTTAAATAAATATTTTACAGATTTTTGGGGTAACTGGAGGAGTTGCTTCAGAACAGGGTCATACTCCGCGAGCAGCTCTATAATAGAGAGAAAATTCCCATTGTTTACCTCGCCTACTTTTTCTCTATGACCACGGAAGGCAAGATTAGCCATTGACATTGTTAATGTAACGTTGACAATTCTATGTAATACTTGTCTCCAATAGTTTTTTTCCTGTCTAATTTGCTTCTCATTTTCCTCATCAATTGTTTTGTTCTTCCTCCACTGTTCATACACTACACAGGCTTCTATATGAGTTTGGGAAGACTCATGAACCTGAATTCTTGCAGAAAGCCTTTGCCATTTCTGGATTCCTTTTGCCCATGCAGGTTCAAATCCTGCCTTTTTACGGTCCCCAAACAGCCAGCATGGTTCACAGTATGCTACATTCAGTTTAGGTGAGTAGCATAGCCACATCACAGGGATCTTAAGGCCTGTTTTTGTAATTCTTTCATAATAGCTTTCAGAAGAGCACCTTCTCTCCTGATCGCGTGAAAAAAGTCCTGGAGGTCGGCACAGGCCATGAGCTATTATAAATCTCTTTAGATTTGAATCCATTATTGTGATAGGGTAATGTCCCCTATCAGTAACATGTTTCTCTCCTACAACACTACTTTCTATAGAAGCCTCTGTAGATTTCAACAATGCAAAATCATCACCTGATTTGGTGCTTTCTGATGACTGCACTATTTCTTTTGTTGGTAGACTAGTGCTACTACCTTCATCAGGGTTATCATCGCCCGCTATATCTAAACAACTGGAGTGAGTGCACTCGCTGATTTCCACCTCTGTGATAGCACTTTCCACAGACATTTCACTTTCAGTGTTACTCTGTACAGGAGGAACACTAGCAGTTGTTGGAGTGGAAAAGTAGCTGCTTATTTTTGGAAGTTTCCCAGTTCTCAAATTCTCTTCCCTTTTCTGCTTACGTTTCTGAGCACCACTCTTATGTTGATATGATGACATACTTGGAAAAACTAGTTTTCTGTAAATAAAGTAAAAAACTTAACCTAACATTACATGCTAATTATTCTTATAATTCCACCATTAACTGCAGCCCTGAATACGCGCCCCCAGCTCCTACATGTGTCTCCACCCTCCACTCCACCTCTTTGTAGCATGGCCGAGCAGACTGATGTACGCGGTCTAAAAGGAAATGCTTGTTGCTCTCAGTGAGCACTTCCTGTCAGACCACGGTCTACTTTGCCAATCTACATGCAGTAACTAGCAAGAAGGGAGCATTGTGTCGTATGGTCCCTTACTGTCGATCACCCACCGACTGCTCATCCCCACCGGCCCTGAAGTTATGCAGGCCTACCAGGATTTCCCGTGCCAGTCTGGCCCTGTGCATCAGCAGGGGTCGACGGGGCAGCGACTATGGTAGTTCCACCACTCTGTATATATAAATACACTAATACTGACACACATGAAGAGATGCATACAATGGCACTGTCTACTACAACTCTCATTATAGGTACCCATTTTGTCAGCTGAGTTACATACATTCATAGCTATGGGGGGGGAGTGCAGCCTCAAAGACTTATTCATTAAACTATTAGTTTTAGTGCATTAAATGTCAATTGCAAATTGAAGATGGAATAAGCATGTGACTAGATTCAAGTTGGAGATTTTTTCCTAAGCTGCTACTTTTGCCTAACTGTTGCATTTCCGATTTAATACGTTAACAGAGTTAGTGAGAACTGTCAGGAATTCAAAGTGAATTTCAAATTTAATGCCACAAAAGCTGAACTGGAACATTTCGCCAAGTCAGGTATGGGCTTTAATTACATACATTTTGAATTCAACAATTCTCATGTTAGTGAATAACCCTGTTAAATACAGAGTTTAGTAATTAACTGTAAAGTAGTTGTAAATATCATAGGTAGCAACATAAAACAAATCACAAGCAAATGTGGGCAGAAACTCCTACTATGCCCAGCCATACAACTGATATTCTATCAGAGACACAAGCAGTACAAGTTTAAGTACTAGTGGTGATATGTTTCCACTCCTTTTTGTGATATATCCCATGCTATAATTCTCATTTTAGTGTTTACTGTAATTGAAATAGCTATGGACTGAGGACAGACAGTGAATTTTAAAGGGACTCCAGTGGTGGATTCAAGGGGTGGCAACAGGGCAATTGTCCCCCCCCCCCCCGAAAGCCAATGCTCTCTCCCGCAGGGCCGGTGCTATCCAAGCGCCGGCCCTGCTGTGTGCCTTCACGGACCAGAGATCAGGGATCTCCCTCACCAGTCCGCTGGCACATTGCTTGCGGCCGGCACGGGAGGGAGAGGAGACCCGGCGGAGCTGTAGCTTGCAGCTCTGCCGGGTCTCCTCTCACGAGCCCGGAGCATTGCCATGGGATTCACCACGAGGACCACCAGGGCTTCACAATGGATATCCCCCCTCCCTGGGCAAAGGTAAGAAGGGAGGGGGGATATAATACATTTTTATTTAAAAAAATAATAATAATTATTTGTTTTAATCAGCCCCATCCCCAACTACACACACTGCTATGTATGCCACTGCCCCCACTGCACCCCCATACACACACTGCCCCCACTGCACCCACCATACACACACTGGCCTCACACACTGATCCCACTGCACCCCATATATACACACACACACACACACACACACTGCACTCCCATGCACACATTACACCCCTCACACAAACACACACTGCCCTTCCTACACAGTGCTCCCACTGCACCCCCATATACACACCTACCTACAGGCCCTCTCCCTATAGTACAGCTCCTATCCTGGCAGACCCCAGGTAAATTGTCAAACTGTTCTTAAACGGTTTGACTATTTACTCTGGGATGGCATCACGGGACTCCTGGCACCATAACCACTAAAGATTAAAACAAAAATGTGAGCACTCCAAGGATAATCATCACCAATCTCAGACTGCACTCCAGCAATGAAAAACAGATTGTATTAAGTTATAAGGATGCAATGTATCCTATATTTCAAAGTTGGGATATTGTATAGTGATGCGTCTCAAGTATTTATAAAGCATAAAGCTAATACCACAACCTGATATACGGTATTTAAAACTAGGTCAGTGAGAAAACTATACGTGGATAAATAGAATAAGCTTTTTATTTTCTAACTATAAACAGACTTAAAATCTTTGACCCATCGAAACTGCAAGTCTACACAGCATCATATATTAATCTGACAATACATAAATAAATATAAACAGGGAATCAATATAAAAAATGCAAGTCAGACATTTAAACAATAAAAAGTGACAAGATTAAACTTAATCAATGTAAAAGGACAAAAATCTATCGGTCAGTGTGGGGCCCCTACACTGATAATAGCCTGAATCCTAAAATGAAAAAGATAATCCGTTGTCATAAAATAAATAATCAAAGAAGAAGGTAATACCTGGAGAGCAGGGAGCTCTGAAACCCACCAAACGAATTAGTACAACCTAAGGGTGCTGCACTGGTACTAACCCAAAGGCTGAAAAACTCTGGGGGTAAACTAGAGCAACTTACCCTGTCCGCTGTACCTCACGTAAGGCTGGGGGAGCACGCCAATCTGCGTATGTGAGCTTCACTTCGGCAAACCGCTTCTGTGACCGGGAATCGCTACCGAGTAGTGGAGTTCACGCTGGAGATTCAGTGCTGAGTGTAAAAGAAATAGACAAGCAGTCTATGCGTTTCAGCTTAACCAAAGACTTTCTCAACACTAAAGTTTATTACTAAATAATGCTCCGCTAAAAATAAAATATGAAAATAAAAATACACTTGGTTTAAAAACAACTAACATTTAGAAAGAGTCAACCTCACATTCCACACACACTGCCCCCACTAAACTCCCATACACACACTAGCCCCATACACACAGTGTTCCCACTGCACCCCATATATACACACTGCACTCCCATGCACACATTACACCCCTCACACAAACACACACTGCCCTTCCTACACACAGTGCTCCCACTGCACCCCCATACACACACACCTACCTAGAGGCCCTATCCCCGTACTACAGCCCCTATCCTGTCAGACCCCAGGTCAATTGTCAAACTTACATGGTTTGACTATTTACTCTGGGAGGGCACCACGGCACTCCTGGCACCAAACCCACTAAAGCTGCAGTTGTTATTTTGCCTGGATTTTTGTATTTTTTCTAATCTATGAGTGCCCCTCCCGAGATAAGGCTCTGGATCGGCCAGTGAGGGACACTGTATTCACCCACTTCCGCCCATTAAAGTGGTCTGAGTGCCAGCTCCCATCACCCTTAAAGGGACTCTCCAGTGCCAGGAAAACAATCCTTTTTTCTGACACTGCAGGTCCCCTCTCCCTCCCATGGGCAGAAGTTGTCTGGGTGCCTGGAGTGTTCCTTTAACCCTGAAAGTGTAATTATTGCAGTTTGTATAAACTGCAATAATTACCTCGCAGGGTTAAATCCTCCTCTACAACTAGAAGGACTGCCGGCAACTTAAACGACTTTTGGTCACTTAAATGACGCTGGATGTCCTCACTCTGAATAATGCTTTCTAATGGGGATGTCTAATGCATGCGCGCAGCCATTGCGCATTAGGTGTGTGTGTGTCCCAGCCGGTAGGAGCATGGGCGGAACTGAGCCAGAATCAAGGGACATCAGCGCTGGACCCAGGTGTATGTGTATGTGGAGACTACTTGTCATCTTAAAGTGGGTAGGGTAGGCTACCTGTGGGGGGCTGGGGCTGCACACTGGGCAGGGAGGGGGGAAATGGACTGCACACTGGGCAGGGAGGATGAGGATTAATGACATGGGCAGGTGAAGTTGAACTTACCTTGTTGCTGGATTGCTGCACACTTCTTGGACTCTGTCTGGGACTGGGAGGTTTCCTGCCGTCGACCGCCGCAAGCAACTTCCTGCTGGGGTTCGGGGCCCTCCCCCAGGCAACACATGCTCCGCCCCATTCCCGGCCCCGCCCCCAGTAACCAGCATTCAAAGGGGCCTGGCGGCGGCCAATGTAACTGGAGAGAGACCACACACACACACCCTCCACTAGTACATACAGGGGCCAGGCCAGGGGTCCACAGGTGGCCGGGCCCCCTGGAGTGCCGGGCCCAGTCGCAACTGCGACCCCTGTATGTACACCACTGTCATTAACCATGGTAGAGGTATACCTAGATACCGCTACTCCACCAGTTTCCGATCCACCGACAGGGCTCGAAACCTACCAAACAACCATTTCCATAACCATCCTAATGGGGAGCCTATTTCCTCTCCTTCAGCTCCCTATGCCGCCGCTGTGACAGAACGGGACAACCCAACCTTAGCCATAACCAAAAGGGAGGGTGGGACAAACTCAGCCAGGTAGGAAAGTTGAAAGTGACTGTTCCAAGATGGCTGCCTATTTATATAGCCAAACCCCTAAGCCTCCAACCACCAATCCCTGCATGCTTTCTCCTATGCCCGCCTCCTAGCCCTGTCAAGGCCTCTTTCCACTAAGCTGCGCTTTTGCTACATGGGGCTACAGTTTAGAAACATAGAATGTGACAGCAGATAAGAACCATTTGGCCCATCTAGTCTGCCCAATTTTTAAAAATACTATATTTTAATAGTGAATAAGCAAGAGCACTTATATTTTACCTTTGCATTTCCAAAAGGAGTAGCCAGCCAATGACAAGGTTAACAAAGGACATGGAACTTGAGAGTTCTACCTTTTGGAGTATGGACTACTAAAAAAAAAAAATATATAAAAATTATATATATATATATATATATATCGTATGAAAAAAAAAAAAAAAACAGGTGCCTTGGTAGAGATGTAATACAAGATTACACAGGTCTTTTGATAGTTCTATTCTGCTCCTCATGGCTCAGTATCTTGCCTTCTCAGTGCATCCACGTGAGAGCTAACAAACTCATTGACTATTTATCCAGACACTAATCGCAATTTAAAAAGCCACCTTTAATTGCCATTTTAACCGGTGTCTCCCCCA